TACACACAGTGCTTGTAACAGGACAAATAGGGTATTTTTTTTCTATATGTAAGCCTAAGACGTCCTTGCCAATAAGTCGGCTAGGGTGAAACCAGATGGATGAACCATTGTCACTTCATCTGCTTTGTGTTATGGTGTGATCCGAAAGTAATAGTTTATATGCGCTGGGAAAATGTTTCCCTCGCCATGTTCGCTAGTACTTGTGGCGGCAGAAGATAAAGGTGATCAATGAATGTATTTGTCTTATTAAGAACAAGGGACCGAAGGGAAACAATTGTTTTCGATGAATTCATCGTCAGACCTTTCCAATCATATGGGTAAAGAACAATGGGAGTAACAGTGATTTCTATCAGTTCACATGAAATTGGTTCACGTGCCAACCAGGGGCAAAGATGTAGTCAAATGATTGCTTCTGGCCTCCGAATCGTCCAGTTTATCTGGCCAGGGTAACTTAAGAGCTTCGATCAGTTTCGTTTGTGAACACAAAAGCGGTTGATACAACCGAATACTGATCGCCTCAGCTATAGCGGCATTCGGGAGATTTGACCTATCAATATTCCCAATGATGCACAGTTCCTACGTGCGCCCGCATGTTGAATACGCCATCCAAGTTTGGCAACCTTGGTTGAAGCGCGACCTAGAAACGATAGAGGCACCACAACGAAGAACAACAAGGAATGTAGTGGGCCTGTGCTATCACTCTTATCACCGAAGGCTGAAGTTGCTGGGAATTTTCAACGAACGCTATCGAAGGCTGCGCGGCGATCTCATATTAGCGTATCAGATATTGAGTGACCCAAATCATGTATGCTGCCACTTGCTGAAACTTAGTCACAACACGCAGCTCAGAGGTAACTGCTTAAAATTGAAGGAACAATATAGCCGTCTAGAGTGTCGACGGAATTACTTTTCTCTTCGGGTTTACCAACCCTGGAACGCACTCCCGACTCAGTTGTATCTTCTCCTACCTTGGATGTTTTCAAAAAACGACTAGATGGTGCTCTTAGCTCCCAACATTTTGTTACCTAAGCTCCTCTATTGTGGATTACACCAAGCATGCTTTTCAACAGGATTTATGTATCAAATGGACCAAAGTGAGCGACCATATTTTACTTTTCTCACTCCTTACCTCAACGATCACTGCACCCCAGTGTCTTTCTGAACGTTTACGCTCGATTTTATTTTAAATTTTACACTGATGTAATTTATCGAAGTATTCATCTAGGCAGACGTTCGATAGATGACTCAGACATAGTTTGTTTTCATTAAATTCACCGCAACCATCCTACGGGACGTGTCAAGCATTTGCTTTTATCCCGTGATAAATCATTGTTCATTGTTCATGTGCATGATGTCAAGTTTCCTCGGTCTTAAGGCCAACCACGTTGTTTGTCAGTGCAAGCAACAAAGATGACACTTCCTAGGTGTCACCATACATCAAACAGTTAGTTGTGACGTCATGGTGTTGGCAGAGTAAAATACGATATGGTCAGTCAGTATGGTACTTCCAGCAGCACATTTCGTCACAATCAGATGCATAATTCACATCTCAGAGTTTCTGCACCTGTCTGTATGCCTGTATGTCAGCGACATTTTAAAGCACCTTAACGGTGTATTATTGTCCTCACATGTTGCTGCTGTGTTGATCTTCGCTAAGCTTTTCGGCGAGGGGGATGATCGTCTCATGGTCACCTCGAAACTTCGAACTAAGCAGCATTCGTCAAGGGTCTGCAAGGTGTCGGGAGAGCTATTGGGGCGCACGAACTCAACAAGTTCAGTACTGGAAGTGAAAATTTCTGTGTAGATTTGGTACAATGCATGTGTTCCTGTTGTAACGCAACCCTCGCCTCTGCACTCTGCGTTGCCAACCCAGCCGGGGAAGAAACAAAACACCAAGCCTGCTAAACCCTAAGTGTATTAAGCACAGAACAAGCTTAATTTTTTGGGTCACTTACTAACATCTCCGGTTGTGGGTTTATGAGCTGAATCACGCCACTTGTCTAGACAGTTTCGAAACCTGCTAGCGGTCCGCACTGGCCAGCTGTAGAACCGCTCACTCACACTTGCCGCAATTCGACAATTGGTATTCCCCTTGACAGACAAATCTGCAGGGAAATTCTGTCAACCGCATACAGGTCAGGTGAGTTGTTAGTGCAGTAATCACTTAATCTGTGCCCCTTGCTGAGGCTGATATTGCATTCATGATGCTTTTTCACAGCAGTTGGGCTAAACCAAGTTACACTTAAACCAGGTCTTTTTAATGTGTATAAAATTCATTACATGTTATTTGGTTTGTTCTGTGTACTTGTTAATCTCCTAACTTGCACACGTCGCTCATGCTAATTGTGGTAAACTTGCATAACTTTATCGCGTGTTATTTTTTAAATAACTTTCGGACATTTTGTACTTAGTATGGATTCACTTATAACCAATTTCTTCTATATGCTCATTTAGCGAGTATCCATGTCGTCATATGCGTTTACTTTAATCGATATCGGCCTTTCGAATGATTGGCTGTTGTTTGACATCCCTGGTGTGGCTACGCTTGATGTGCATGTTGACAAGGTGCCTACCTGTCTATTACCCACTACCTCGTCCATACTGACTCCAGGAGACAGTTGGTCGTTGTTGGAGGGGACGGGATGAAAGGTCCTTGTGGTCGTGCTAGGCTCAAAGAGTGGTTCCATGCACTCAGTGTGGAGAGGACTGCGATCCAGCCACCGCCTTGTGTGCGCTTGATTCCCCAAATACAGCGTGCTTGTGTTTACCTGTGAAGGATTGTGGGCCGGCTCCGTTGATGAAACGTGGCTCCCATCCGCATGCCTCCCGGTCTTATTTCTTCGGGTTTACACTGGATATGGGGTGTGTGGATGGAGCTGTGCGTGGTGCAGCGCAAGCCATTCACGTTCCCTCTGTCGGCGCAGGCGTCCTGTGGCTGATCACAGGGACATTCAAATCCGAAACTGGATGCCGCAAATCAATCGCGTATTCGCACGCCGTTCCGTCACAAAGGAAGTGACTGATCACTGTTTTTAGTCAAGCTCCAAATGCTGGTGATTCATGAGGAATTGTTCCCACATCACTCTCGCGAAATTGCATCGCGTTATTCGGTCACGCTGTAACAGTCTTTGCAGCTTTCTCCTATGTCAACCAGTTGCTTTTACTTCAGTTGCTCATTCACTCGTCGAGCTTGGAAATTTGTTCGCCAACGTTTCATCGCCATACGAAATGGTATCATCAGTGCGTTGAGATGTGGAGTGGAATCTCGCTGATTGAATTGTCGGATCTGCGATCGGTGTGCAACTGACATTTCGAAAGTGACGGCTGCGATCTGCGTCTCGTGATCTCAACGCATTTCCCCGCGGCGGAAATCGTCACTCAGGTTGTTCCTATTCAAGCGATGACTCGTAAGTTCTCTAAATTTTTTTCCGTCGGAGGAGGTGGTAAACTGGGTCAATGTCAATATGCATGTTGATTGAGTTTTTTGTTGGGAACCACGCTTCCAGGAACTCCCTTTCTCTTATTGTTTCGCCTCTTGCCAGAACTTCTGTTGTGGCCCAATCGAAGCTGGGTTCGTTTTTGTCCACGTGCGCTGAGGTTATGGATGATGCATAATGCCTTTTGCATGCTCCTTTGTGCTCTAGTATACATGTTGCTAATTTTCTACCTGTTTGGCCAACATAGTCCTTTTCGCAATTTCTACATCGTAGTCTGTATACAACATTACGTTGCTTATGAGCGTCCAGTTTTGCATTCGGTTTTGACAGTTTTCCTCAACGTGGCACTTGGTTTATGTGCTACGTTAAGGTGGTGCTGTTTGAATAGTCTTGCCGCTATTTCGGGTATCTTTTTCATATAAGGCAAAAAACGCCTCTCTCCGTCGTTGGTGTAGACTGTCTGTTTGCGTTGTGGTTCAGACACCTTCGGATGAAGCTTCGAGGGTATCCGTTGAGTTGGAAACATTTAAATAGATGCTTCTCTTCTTGTTGCTTTGCCTCCGCGGTACTGTAGTGTGTTTGCACTCTACCAAATAGTGTCCTCACACAACTTACTTTGTGGCATTTCGGGTGTTTACTGTTAAGGTTCAGGATTTGATCCGTATATGTCGTTACTGTAAACTGATCTTTGCAGCCTCCCTTCCATGATTCTGGTTACTAATACGTCCAGGAAAGACAGTTGGTTTTCCTTCTCCATTTCTATCGTAAATCGGAGGTCTTCAATAGCGTTGTTTAATAGCTGCTGGGCGACTGTAACTTGACTGCGTTTGATGATCACAAAGTCGCCAACATATCGGACCCACAGTACATCCCCTACCAATTTCTGTATTACCATCTCCGCGATGAGTCCTGATATGGGTGATCCCATTGGCACGCCTTTCAATTGTTCGTAGGTCTTCCCGTTAAAAGAGAAGTCCTGGCGAGAGGCGAAACAAGAAGAGCAATTGAGTTCCTGGAAGCGTGGTTCTCTGCAAAGACTCAATCAAAATGCATATCGACATTGACCCAGTTTACCACCTCCTCCGACTGAAAAAATTTAGAGAACTTACGAGTCATCGCTTGAATAGGAACAACCTGAGTGACGATTTCCGCCGCGGGGAAATGCGTTGAGATCACGAGACTCAGATCACAGCCGTCACTTTCGAAAAGTCACTTGCACGCTGATCACGGAACGACAATTCAATCAGCGAGATTCCACTCCACATCTCAACGCACTGATGATGCCATTTCGTATGGCGATGAAACGTTGGCGAACAAATTTCCAAACTCGACGAATGCATGAGCAACTGAATTATCAACCAGAGCTACCAGTTTTCCGAAACTTGTCTATGCTGTCTGTTGATGCAGAAAACGAACCTTCCAAATCTCTTATGATCGATATGAAACCACCTTACTCGTAGAAGGACATATTTGTAATTGCCAGTAAAAACTTGTTCGGTCGGTACGAATTGCCGTGGCTTTTGCTCTGACCTAGTTGACCACTTATCTTCTTCTTTCATACAGAAAGGCAAGACGCCCCTACACTATGCAGTGAGCGCGGACATACGAGCGGTTGTCCTGATATGCTCGTGCAGTGCGAACGGTTTCCAGATTCCTGATGCGGTAAGCAGCAAGAATTCCCTTGTAATCATTGGCATGCATGTTATATATATATATATATATATATATATATATATATTTGCAAAAGTCTGTTAACAGACATAATGCCATCAGAAACCATGGGATTCAAACGAAGGTACAGAAACAGTAAAATAAAACACAACACAACAATGTCCATGCATGCATGCATGTTGCAAATCTTACATCCTATAGACAGGTCAGAAGTTCCGTACTAGTAATCTCCATATCAACTCTTAGGCCTGTTATATCGGCTAGAAGGTCTATACACGTTTCACAATCGTATTTTCTTATCCACGTGGTTAAGATTCACTCGACTAAGTAGCTGTGTGTTGGACCCACAAAGTAAAAGCGATTAATCACTAGGTTCATCATGCGTCCATCCAGGAATGTCAAAAATGTAACAAATCTTTTCAGTTTGCCACTAACTACACTGTCGGTGAAACTACATGTCCTTTTGACCTGCAGGACAACAGAACTCCTATGGATTTGGCATTGGCATCGCCGGACAAAGCAGCCGTTAAATTTTTTGCCAGTGTAAACCAAAGAAATCGTCTGCTTTCAACTCAGCGAAACAAACAATCCTTGGAGATCGGATTCAACGTAAACAAACAAGTAAGCGTGTAGGGTATTGATTCCGTCACATTTTTCATTCAGATCAACTCACTCATTGCCTATAAAAACCGCTTCTGTTTTTGAGGGACGTAAGCAGTGGTTTTTCTTCCGACACTTGCAAGGTTTCTTCATGAGGATGTTTTTTCGTGGTGCACCCAAGAATGAAGCACGTGCACGCGTTGCTGCTGTTAGTGCGGTATTTCCTTTAGACTAACCGCACCGTGATCCATGTTGCATCTCAAGGTCAGCTGCTGACCTTGCAACACGCACGTGACCAACACTTTAGTGTTTCTTCTGTACTTGATTGGTGCTGCTACGGGTGACAAGAAGGCTTTCGACAAATGTATGGTGATAACCACGTTTATTTTCAAACACTCATGTTATCCGGGAGCGCGTTTCTGCGCCATGATACAGATGGTTTTAGGCAAAGCCATTACAAAACACCTTAGATGAAGCCCTTTTACACAGCCCTCGGATGCTTATCTGGGCCATAGTACACTTTTCTCTATTTAATCGTCCAGCACATACGTCTTCAAACTGGACACGTGTGAACACGTCAGTCTGCGAAGCCTCTTGATACGTTAAGGGGTTCCCTTGAACCTGACGCGACCAAAGTCAACCGGTTCAGCAACCTTTGCTAAATGCAGGATCTTATGCCAGCTTGCTGTCGGGTCCGAGAGAGCTAGCCACCAAGCTATTACCTTTGGTACACGCGTTCCGGAGGAGCCCAAGTGGAGCGCATCACATTGAGCACCGACGGTGCATATTCCTAATGGCTCCACTATGTTAAATGACTTTTTAACAAGTATGCCTGTAATTTCTGCCATAAGGTACGCAAAGGATCGTGGTGGATCCCGGCAACAGGGAGAGCAACCGGCGCACAGAAGTTGGCAGCAAAAAGAATACCAGGTCTACTTCCAGCAGCTAATATGGAGCGACGGGAGCAAGGTGGTTCCTTTAGTCCCCGTTCGCGGCGGGTTTACGAAGCCTCAACTGCGTCCAACATTATAGTACAATGAACAATGATTTATAACGGGTAAAAAAGCAGGTGCTTGACATGTCCCGTA